TGGGGGGAGGGGGGCTGTTGGTAGGGAGTGAGAGGCACCAGCAGGGCTCAAGGGGCTGTGGCTTGGGAGTGAGGAGCCTGGACCTGCATCCTTGTGAGCTACGGGGGCAGGAGGAGCTCTAATTTTTCATGATAAAACCCCCAAAACCAAATACCAAAATTTATCAGTATTTAGAATTTATTTTATTGTAGTGATCAGCACTGGCAGGTTTCCAAATTGCTGTAAAATTGTAAATATATCAATAAAACATCGTGTTCAATTGATATCTGTATGTATAGTGGCGTTTCATTTTAATCACAGATTTTGGGGGTTTTATCAGAGAATTTGCTATTTTTTTAATTAGGGAAAATCAGGATCCCTGGCTATGACAAATGTCATGTGTGAGATCTAAAACTATTACCAGTACAATCTCCCTCTCTCCGTGTTATAAAACTTATACTGACAATGTTCTATAAATTGGTATTCAAAATTTCAGATGAGATTACAGAGTTTATTTTACCTAATTTTAGCAAAAATAAAAAGTTGAACCTTAGGAAAAAAAACCTACGGCTGGAAGGAAAAACAAACAAATGCAACTCAGAAGTTGCTCTTTCTCCACGTACCTTTAGTTGCTAATAGCTTCTTCTGTTCATAGTCAAATGCCTAAAAATTAAACAGGCACAAAATGTCTCAATTGCTGCTCTAACAAAATGTCATTCCAGTTCTTAGCTCTTTCTGAAAACAAAGGTTTTGAACACGGCCCATGAATTCATCGAGGAGGAATGTTAGCCACTATACAACACTGTGGCGGTTACCCAATGGAAGTCTGATGTGCTTAAAACATTCACTGAAAATTACCTACTTAGGACTATACATTTTTCTCTCTGACATACATTTAAGTGCAGTTGTGGAAGTATTTAAAGTTCCCCTATGTGGCATTTTTAATAAGACATTATTTCAACTGTAGTTTTGAATTCCTGAACTACCTATTGATAGTAAACATTTAAAACTCTGAGAAAACAAGTTCAACAGTAGGAAGTGGGAAATAGATCTGTTGAAAGCCTCTAGCCTAAAGTAAACCTGGAGAATAGTAAAGGTGATATTATGTGTACCCACTGAAGATCACCGAGGGGATGGAGAGATGACACTTATTTTTTTCAAAAATAAATCAAAGCATCCAAACCACAGGATGTGCTGCTTGTGGGAGGACTTGAATTACAGTGATATTATTGGAAGAGTAACAGCAGTACACAGGCACTCGAGCAAGTTTTTGGAGTTTGTTAGGGACAATTTTTTGGGATGACAGAAACCAACTATGGGATGACAGGGAAGCTGGCTAAGAAGGAAGCTCCAATACATTTGCTGTTTATAAATAGAGACGAATTGGTTGATAAACTGACAGTAGAAGGCAAATGATAAGAGTTCAAGACCCCAGGAAAAGTATGTAAGGAAGGAAAGCACCAAAATAAAACCCTTGGAATTCAGAAAAGTAAACTAACACATTCAGCAATGGGAAGTTTTGCCTCAGGAGTTTTGCCAAGTCATAAATTTACATGCTCACTTACGTCACAGGCTTCATCTCTCTCAAATTGTCACAAAGCCAACTCCTGAAAAACCTAGAAGTGTAACATTTTTTTCTGTGTAGTCTTCTTTGTAGTCAACTGATGAGGGGACAGAGCTTCAAAGTATTGAGGGAAAGGACTGGAGAAAAAGTACTCTCCCAACATAACACTTGTATCTTCTTGTAGTCAGAGGTATAGCTTATTCTGTCTAATTTTAGATGTAAATTAATTGAAGTCAGGACCCTGAAGCACTCTTTATGCATTTAGTTTGCCATTTGGAAAAGATATGCTGTGGAGGAACATTTGTCACAACAAGAAGAGAATTAACTTTACTAAATGCATTGGACTGCAACTTAACTAATATTGATAACCATTTAATCTGCCAAACCAATCTTTCGCATCACTCGCTATTTTATAGGCATTTATCAGCAAACTTTACTGCTCAGGTTACTTAATAAAACCAAATCTAATACAGTATTAACATGTACCTGTATATTTACAAATGATGACTGTGGTGCAAGACGTGCTCTCTCACAATTCTGTTGTGCAGCTGCGGCCCTCTCTGCTGCTCGTTCACTCCCAGGAGCCTTTTTATCAGCCACTGGACTTTCAGAAGCACTCAGCTCGGTGTCAGACAGCAATCTCTCTGCAGTGCTGGAAAAGAAGGGTAATTTTTTATGGTTTACTACTTCATTATCCACTCTACGCTTTTTTCAAAATTTCATTAATATTCTCTCTTACAATTCTATTTTTACACCATTAAAAAAAAAAACCCAACAGATCTCATTTACTCTGAATAGGCTAATACCTGAACTTACAAACACAGTGATCTAATAAAAATACATCAGTTCAAAAAAGGTTCCTAGTTCAGCCCCTCATTTGCCTGAATCTTGGCAACTTGAGCAGCTTCACACCCTGTGAAGATAAAATGAAAGGGAAAACCATGTCTTGGAAACTCCAGTTGCACTTATAAAAGCATCTGTTAGAATAACTTTTCACTACAATGATCACCGTTTGTGGGCACTTTCCCCAAGAGACAGAAAAGCAATCATACAGGTTTCCCTCGCTTTATACAGGTTCTGTACGTATGAATTCTCTCTTATGCAATGACCATTTTTATACCAAAAATTTGTTATGCAAGGTAAATTCACTCTTATGTGATAGGTGCGGTGGAAGCCCAGAGCCAGCAACTTTGTGTGGTACATTGTGGGAGTGATGCATATCAAAATACAGTCTCCTGTGTGGATCTGTGCTCCTCACTCGCTGTCTGTGACAAGTATTTCTGTAGTTACCATCCCCATTATGGTAACATTCACCACTACCCTGTGCTTGTGTATACTGTCTGCTGTTGGTAAATACCAAAATGTTCTTGTAAAAGTGGGTCTGGGGGGTCAGTACAATCAAGGTCTTGGAGCATATCCCTATTTGTTACATTGTAAAGTGGGTTCTCTTTACGTGAATTCGAGTTATGCTTGGTTTTCCAGGAATGCATGTACAGCATAAAGCTGTAAAGGGAAACCTGTATTTTAAATAACTACATAATTCCTAACAAAGAAAACACCAAGGTTAACTGCATATACGCTAATAATGTACACGTCTACATGTGATGCTATGTCGTCATAGCAATGCACTAAGGCAACGTAGCACTGGCTGCTATATTATCATAGCAACGTGCTCCCTTGTTATCGCATGTTGCTACCACAACTTAACAGCTAAAAATAACTGTGCACCGTGCACATGGCACAATACGGGCTGGTACTGCACCATCATTTATTACTCCAAAAGGAAGTACCAAATGACAGCGCAGTAACAACGGCGCTGTAGGGGCACATGTAGACATGCCCAGACAATATTCAAATGTATTAATGTAGTATTCCAAAGCTTTATAACTAAAGTCAAAGAAATGTACATGAGGGTATACATAACTATCATTGTATAGTAAAATAAATAAAGGCAGTTAAGCAAATTAAAATTTATCCTGAAGAACACTGAACAATTCCCAACAGGGAGGTATTTTATGATCAGTTCCTAAGGGGAGACAGTGGAAGCTCTCTTCAGGTTATTTAAAACTTCCGAATGCCAGCCAACAAGGCTTTGTGACTGGCAGGTCTTGCCTGACCAACCTCATCTCCCTCTATGACCAGGTAACATATGCCTTGGACAAGGGAGATGATGTGGACATCATATATCTGGACTTCAAGAAGGCCTTTGACTTAGTTCCCATGATATCCTCATGGTTAAGCTGGGGAACTGTGCCTTGATATGGTCTGATGGCTAGGCAACTGGCTATGAAGTCAGACCCAAAGAGTACTAGTTGAAGGGAGCAAATCAACATGGCACAGGGTTACCAGTGGAGTCCCTTAGGGCTTGGTACTCAGGCCAGTACTCTTTAACATTTTCATCAACAATATAGATTCAGAAGTCAGATGTGGACTGGCCAAGTTCACAGACGATACCAAATTATGGGGGAGGGCTGTCACACTGCAGGACAGCTGGGAATACAGGCCAACTTGGACACGCTCTTAAGGTGGGCTGACCAAAACTGGATGACCTTCAATGCAGAGAAGTGCAAGGTGCTGCACCTCAGTAGGAAGAGCCCTCAGCATACTTACAGGCTCAGCAGTGCTACACTTGCTACCACCACGATCAAAAGGAACTTGGGGGTCTTGATTGAACACAAGATAAATACGAGCCACCAATATGATGCAGTGGTGGGCAAAGCTAACCAAACTCTGGCGTGCATCCACTGATGCATCTCAAGCAAAACCAGGGAAGTCATCCTCCCGCTTTACTTGGCCCTGGGGAGACTGCAGCTGGAGTACTGCATTCAGTATTGGGCCCCCCACTTCAGGAAGGATGTGGAGAAGCTTGAGAGAGTCTAGAGGAGAGCCCCTTGTATGATCTGAGGCCTGGAGGGAAGGCTGTATGAGAAGAGGCTGAGGGACTGGGACTCTTCAGTCTGGCAAAGAGAAGGCTCAGGGTGTATACATCGGGATTTGTTCACCACACCCCTCAAAGAATAACAAGGTCTAACAGCCATAAACTCCAGGAAGGCTGATTTAGACTGGATATAAGAAAAAAGTTCTTTATAGTGCATGTGTCCAGGGTCTGGAACAAACTCTCCTCAGAAGTAGTGCAAACACCTGCTCTGGACTCCTTCAAAAATCAGCTGGATTTATTTCTTGCTGGGGTCACTTGATACTGGTTGACTTCCTGCCTATGATGGGGGAGGCCTGGACCCGATGATCTCATGAGGTCCCTTCCAGCCCCTAATGTCTATGAAATCTATGAAACTAGACTGGAGGAAAACTGAACAAAGTATAACTGACAAGGAAGAAAATCTGAATTGGAAAAAGATGGAGATTGATCCAAAAAGTGTTATTTACAGATAACTGCCAATTTTTCAATTGGCCTTCTTCAACAACTTGGGAAAATAACTTTATTTGCTGAATATGCTTTGCCACTAAGAAAAAAAATCTCAAGTGCACGACTTCTCACAGCAGGGACAGTCAGTGATAAAGTTCTACTGATGTTAGTATAACTATAAGCTCCTCAGAGAGGAGAATTTAGGAGGAGGGGAAGATGGAAGCAATGCTTTTGGGGAGCAAATAAAAAGGAAAAAATTAAATGTAAAATAAAGTACAAAAATATGAAGAACTTATACAAATAGTGGAAATATATTAAGTACAGCCAAGTCTGATTAAGACCAGTTCTCCAAATATTCGTCAATGACTGAACCAGATATCCTGACCCAAGGAACATGATATATATTTCTGCCCATCACTAAATTCTATACTTCTAAACTTAGAAGTGTTACATACTGTAAGTGAGAGTTTTTGGTGCCTTGCAATAACTCTACGGTTTGTCTCTTAGCACATGATTGTTTTGAAGAACTCATCATCTGCTTCAGATCACTGGCATTGGCTGAATGTGATGGACTTCTTGGCATGCCTACTTCTACAAAAGCATCATTGCAACCTACAAAACCAAGAAAAACAGTGGTAAAATAAAGCCCTTTTTATTCCAATATCGTTATTATACATACTGCTGGCAGTCATTGCTATGAAATTAAAACTATTTTCACACTCTATATGTAAATCTCTGTGATTTATAGAAGGACTAATTTATTCAAAGCTAAATAGCCACAGTTATTTCATTTGCTTATATACAAGTATGCATTGACATGTGTGGTTGACTACAAACCTGAAGAGTATTTTTTCAAGTTAAGCAAGATTTAGCTATACGAGGATACTGTCAAAGCTAACAACTTAAGGTCAGAAATGACTGGGGATTTTGGATGCATTTTAGGGGTTTAGGTACCTCACTCAATACAGGATGTTGAAGCTGACTGATGAGCACTTCCTAGCAATCAGGCCTTTTAATATGTTTTGATTTTGGTAGTCAGAAACTGAGGCACTCAAAACCAGCAGAAAATTGAAAAAAAATCTTTGTCTAAACATCAAAGTATCTGGAAGTACCTACATGTGAGACTGAACAAAAACAAAGTAATGTTTTAACATTAAACAGCTCAACATTTAATTTTCTTTAAACTATGACTGATCAAATATTTCTAACTGGCCAATGAGTATTTCATTAAAATCAATGTTCAGGGTGACTGTGAACCTAACAAAAAAGAAACTTCCTTTGCACAAACATAATATTTGTTAGAGAGGAATGCAGCCTCTCTACACAGTCTTGTTTCTTTTTGATAAATCCTGGTTTCCTCTTTTACAACGCTAATGCAAAGATTAGCTGGCGTAGCTAACGCACCTATTAAATTGATGAAAACATTAAAATAAAATACATAATTAACTTCCCTGATTGTCAGAGGGTTTTTTATAGCAATATAACTGTGTTGGTCAAGGGTGGGGTTTTGAGGGGGGTTGGTTTGTTGTTTTTGTTTAAACCAATGCACTTATACTAGCATACAATTGTGAACTGGTTCCTTATCAATGATGTTTTTGAAAGGTTAACTTGCATGTGTGTCCACACTGTCCCACAACAAATGTGAATTGGTTCCTAATCAGTAACATTTTGCAACTGTTAAACTGTTATCTGTATCTGCACCCACAGAAACAATGTGGTGCAAACATATTAACTGATCTTATAATATCCATGGTACTGGACAACTTTTATACAATCTCTTAGATAACATGTGTATGACGTAAGGCTTAATTCTAAAAAAAAATAATGGCAAAAATTTCATCTCAACATGTGATTATTTGTTTGTGAAATGGACAAACATTAATCAAATGAACATTACCACCAATTACTACCAAAAATACAAGTCAAGATGTTACCATCTGTAGTATCTGATTTGGCAGTCACTTGTTCTGAGGTGCTATGACTACTTGTTTGTCTTACTGGATCACTGTGGTTTGTGCTCAACACATTTTCTCCTAGTGATGAGGCAGATAGTGCAGCATAGCTGATATTTGAGGTCTGAAATAATTAACAAAATATGTTTTAAAAACTTTTTGATATTTGACTTCCTCCTCTTTCTTTGCATTCACACATGAACGTTAGCTACAAGTTTTGCTTTTTTAATGATGAAGTTACATATTGTAAGCATTTATTTGCAGTCCGAATCTGAGTGATCTTAGATGAATGACAGATGGTTTTTCTTAAAATTATTTTAGACTAGACTCATAACAAATAAGACAAATGGTCATCTAGGATGTACATCACAATGCTTACCTTCACATGACCATTTAAAGAAGTTGAGCCTTTTTTGTTTTCTGGTTGCATACCATTGACATGGACATCAATGGGAGTCAAGCCAGGGGGGGGAGATGGTGTATTCTGGCTATAATTAGGTACTCCAGATAGCAGAATACTAGTTAAAGTGGCTTGGGCAGTAGACGGTATCATCAGGTGTGGTATAGCAGAAAAACCTGTATAAAAAATTAAGTCATGTTTGGGTTAGCTGACAAGCTGAGTACATCAGATAGTAAATCAAACTGAATTATGATGGAATACAATATAAAATCTTTTGAATTTAATTATATTGAACATTAACATGCAAAGCCAATTATTTAATGTAGTATTTGATACTTAGATTTTTATATTTTCTCATTTAAAACAATACTAGAAAGTTGAATATTACATTATAAAATGCAATTAAATTAATCTAAAGAAAAAAAATTTGCATATTTATACATTTATGTAAACAATGTTTAAGAATTTCTACTTGTGAGACTTCTAAGAGAAAATGGTACCATCTTTTACTTTTTTTTATTCTAGTGACCTAAATAGTTAAAAATTGATCTCATTTGTACTTAATTTCTACTAACCTGTGGCATTTGTGTTAGCAAGAGATGTTGCCCATAATGTAGGGCTAGGTGTGCCTGAACTTGGACTCTGTAAAGGACTAACAGAACTATTAAGGGCATTCAAGAGGGAGTTTGGAGAAGTGGAGGTGTTGACAGATAGGGCAGTAGGACCCAACAGACCTGTGGGAAAAATTACACATAATTCATATTCATGTGTGATCTTTATTTTTTAAAGATTATATTAATTATGTTTAATACACAACACTGTATAACAATCTGCTGATTATTTCTGATTAGAACATACTATAATTAAGACAGATTTACTCAACTGAGGATCAGTGAAAACCAGGGCCTGTTTGGATCTCAGGAAGTTAAACAAAAAGGAGGAAAATCTCTACTCCTTTTCCAGTCAATCTATCTGTTTGCACCACTGCAGTATTTGAATGCTTCTGTTGGCTGCTGCCATTAAAACCTACAACAACTTGTGTATCTATTGAATGTCTCCATATTGTTTCTGTCAAATTTTACTTCGGGGAAGCATCACCTGAAAATTAGAGGTAATTGCTACTTTGCAGCTTCACTGTTCTCAGGCACTTAACTTTCAGATAGTATTGGACAGTGCCATGGTGAAGAAAAAAAGCTGTCCTCACATAATAACATCCTGATTCCCCAACATCAGCAAACCTGTTTATTCCTAAGTACTTGCAAAATCAATGGTTGGATTTGACTAGGAATTTTAATATTGAAGATACTATTTCTATATTGATATGTTACTAATTGGAACTTATTTATCAGTATAAAATGTAAGCCAAAAGTATTTAAACCTTCCCTCAATTTGGATTACTTTCAAAGAGAGAATAATTGTAAAACAAATAAGCCAGGAAGTAACTAGTTTTATGTTGGCCATGAAATAAGCTATTTTTTCTTGCGACTTGTGGTCTTACATCAGGATCCATTCTTGGGAGGGAAGTGGGGTCTGGTGCTTGTGCACTCTGTCTACATTTTTAACAATACTCCTCCTCTGTTCTGTCATAAATTTACAGAACAGTAAAGTGGATGCATCAGTGCTAATGGATGGAGAGATGATTTGAGAGGATCCATTGTGGGTGAGCTCTGAATGTTGGATTATTATCAAAATGTTATAAAATATTTCTCTTTATTCAAGGAGTGTTTGCATTTCACTCAAGTAGGTTTCTATTTGAGAAATCATCAAGTATCTCTATTATACATAATCTCAAATAATGTGTGACCTTCCCAATACCTGTGATCAGTGTTTCAAAAGTTGTAAGTAAGAATAAAGTATTTACCTAGTCCAGTGAGTCCTAGCCCTGCTGAGGACAAAATGTCTAAACCAGGACAGGAGAGGCCAACAGGGCATGAAAGTGTAGACAGATTTGCTGCTATGGTGATGCCACTACTTTCAAGTCCCAGGAGGCATTTCCTTGCCTCATACATGTTCAAGGCATTTCGCTCCACACTTTTTACAATCACAGACTATAAAAAAACCAAACAGCTGATATAATAATATAATACAAATTTGTGTAGCACAAGCTTTATGATATTACTTGAGGGCTACAGTAAGGTAAGGTAACAAGCAAAATTAGCTGAAACACTATATCCATTGGTGGTTATTCAGGCATCCAAAAGTCTACGGAATTGTTAAAGAATTGTTAATATTTTTGTTCACCTTTAAATATGCAAATAACTTTGTTTTAAGAACATACTCCTACATTTTTTAATTAAGTGAGGCTTACAAAGGGAAAAAATTGAGGATTATCATCAGTCACCATGATTAAAAGTATTACGGTTCACCATAATAAAGAGCATACAGGGGTGCTCTTTACGTCCTATGTCTATATATCTATATAGAGAAGTTAAATGGCAAAGTCATGTCAAATTTATAAGAAACATTTCACACAACAGTATTTCATCTTTATTTAAATGACATGCTTTCTACTAAGGTTTATATAGATGTCTGAGCATATAGGATGTAAACTATTTCTATCTATTCATGTAAACACTTCTACATTTAAAATCAAAATTGCTGACATAATGGAAAGTGTGTCAGAAGTCAGTATGTTGATTTGAACCCATTTAAGGACAGATATCTGGTTTACAAGCCTACTTAAACTGTTCAGCACACATGGGGAAATAAACACAAAGCCTTGATTATGTTTTATCAGGAACAGGCAGAAGAAAATTTTTAGTAATTATTAAAAATATTAGTGAGTTATCTGTATTAGAGAGTTTGCTGTATGTGAGGAAACATGGTCAGTAATACGTCATAGTAGATCCGCTCATGAAAGTGGCTCTGCTCTCCTGTGAAAGCGTTTGCATGGCCAATACTTCGCTAGAACAGTTAACACAAATTTTGTCAAATCTTTTATAAAAAAATGGGGAAAAATCAGAGCTAGTGTAACAGGAAAGATTTCAGCCTAAAAACATTTTTCCAAGTTTAAGATTAACTGAAAAAAAAATTGAATTTCCTTTTAGTTTAAATCTAGTGGGGCTAAAGTTCTGATCACAGTGTGTATGACTTCACTGAAAGCAAAAAGGAGCATTTCCTTCAATGAAGTAGAATCTGATCCCATGTCACCACAGCAGTAGCCCTAGGAAAGATGAGACAAGAGAAAACTGCATGGCTTTTTGAAATCTAGTATCAAAAAGCACTATAGTGGCTTCTGATAAAGAGAGCATACGTCACAGTTTGCAAAGAAAATACTAGGTTTTCACTAACCTTGCTTGGTTGTTTTGGCTTTGGTTTAAGGCTTATGAAGACATCTAACTGTTCCATTAGTTGAGTGATAAACTGGGGTTCTACTTCAATTTCTTCCTTCATATCAAACATCAGCACAAGAGGCAGGCAACCCTGGAAATTTAAATACAAAAGTTTTTATGTCAAGATATGCTCATATGAAATATAAAATTTCAGCTAAAAATAGAAAGCATTATTATTCTAATGTGATGATATTGATATTATATCAATGACGTGCATTGTATGTGATGATCTTTGCATATCAGAATTAAATAGGGCAGAAAAAAATTATAATGATCAGCATTTTTTCCCTCAGAATTTTGACCAGAAATCTTGACAGTTTGAAATTGGGATGGTATAAACATTTTAGACATAAAAAACTATATTATATGCATGTTATGTTTGCTATAAAACCCCCCCAGCTATTTGAATGATGAACTTTGGTAAATGCCTACTATCTAATTTTAAATACTGTAAAAATTATATTTAGCACTGCTATTTTCTCATATTGTTAACTTTAAGGGCAGAAGAATTAGTGTGTGAAGAAACAACTGGATAGAATAACTCCTTTGAGATTGGAGACTGTAAAACTGGCATTAAACATTTTCATTTGTTCCATGCAAAGGTAGCTAAATTTACATTTTCAAAGTTTCACATGAAATACCTTTGAAATAACCACATTTTTAATATCAGACAACACAGATGGGAGAAGAAAGAAACAACTGCATCTTTTTACAGAGCAACAAACAAATGCTGGGTGTTCTGTAAAAAATGAATAAATGTGATAACTATTTCTAGGAGTTGAGAATTTAAACTAGATATTAATAGTGTAATCTAAACATACTTCATGTGCACATTAAAAATGCATGAGAAGATAGAGCCAGTGATTGACTTGCACTGACGAGCTCTATTTGACCCAAGAAGTCTATGGGCTGACAAGAGGTAAGGGATCTGGTACTGGCCAAAGGGGATGATCTAGTCAGCAACCTGAGGATTGAAGGGAAGCTTGGTGACAGTGATCACAAGTTGATCACTGTCTCTATCCATCGTAAATCTGGCAAATCAGTCAGCAATGCAGAAACCCTTGACTTTAGAAAAGCTGACTTTCACAAACTCAGGAGCTTGGTTGTTGCATTCCTGAGAGACCATGCTCTGACAGGGATGCAAGTCCATAATGAGTGGTTGCTCCTTAAGGACTTGATCCTAAAAGCACAAAGCAAGTCCATTCCAGCCTGTAGGAAAGGTAACAAAAGGGCTGGTACACTGCCTTGGCTCAGTAGGGAACTCATGAACCTCCTGAATCTGAAAAGAGAAGCTTATCAGGGATGGAAGTCGGGAACTACCACTAAGGAGGATTACGCAGCACTGGCCCACACCTGTAGGGAGAAGATCAAAAAAGCCAAGGCTGAAACTGAACTCAAACTGGCTATGGAAATCAAGGACAAATAAAAAGTCCTTCTTCAAATACATGGGAAGTCGGAAAAAAAACAAGGGCAACATTGGACCCTTGCTGAACTAAACGGGACATCTGACACCCAGGAGAAAGCTAATTTCCTCAACTATTACTTTGTGTTGGTTTTCCACCAGCCCAAGGGGATCACCCTGCCTGACAGGATGTAGGACTACCAGGTAAGGGTGATCATATGCCTATAATTGGCAAAGATTTTGTGCAGGAACAGCGTGAGAGGCTGGACATCCACAAGTCAGCTGGCCTAGATGGAATGCACCCAAGAGGGGTGTCTACACATGCTTGCAGCAGCTCAAACAGAAGCAGTGCAAACTTGAGCCGGGGCTTTTTGCCTCAGTGCATGTGCTCAGACATGTACTTTGTTGTGGAGCAAATTGTGCCTCTTGGGGCAAAATAACTCTGCCTGGCTCCTCCCAGATCTGCAGCCGGGGGAAGCTAAAGCCTGGGGCCAGCACCTGTGCTGGCCCCAGCAGTATAGAAACCTGCCCTGGCCAGCAGCTCAGGGCTACTTGATCTCAGGAGCTTCTGAGGCCCAGCCACTTGGTATCTGGGGACACTAGCACCTTGTGTCAGCTAGACTATTGAAGCAGCATCCCAAATTCACTTTTTAAAATACCCCAAAATCCACATTCTTCTACAATTAGAAAAAGAGACAGAGAGAAAGGGGGATTGATCAGATGGGCAATGTTTTATTGCTATATTGACAATGTTAAAGAAATTTGGAAGCCTACCAGTGTCTCTAGCATCATAATAAAATAAACCCTAAATATCTGTGTTTTAATGTTTGCTTTTGGTTTTCTTATCACATGGTGGGTGTGGGGGGATGTGGGTGGGTGTGGAGGGATGTTGGGGGGGATGCAGATCAGTGTGCGGGTAGGTGTGGGACTGTGGGTGTGGGGGCTGCTTAGGAGGGGTGGGTCCTCTGCATGAATGCCGCATGCACCTGGTGGCTGGGGGGGCACAGCGGCGCTGGTGGCAGCAGGAGAGTGGCAGTGGCGATAAGCGGGGAGGTCCCGCAGATGCCGCTGGTGCTGTCGGTGGTGGTGGGGGGGTGGTGAGCACCAACTGGGGAGCACCACTGGCAGCAACAGCAGTGACCAGCAGCAATTGCTGACTGCCCACAGACACCGGTGGCGGTGGGGTGGTGGCAAGCAACTTTTTTTGAGGGGTGCACTGCCACGCTCAGGGAGTGCACATGCACCTGTGTGCACCCCCTTCACATCATCAATGGTCCCCTGCCCCCCACAGGGCAGAGCCCCCCCCCAGCATATGGACTACCCTGCCTGCAGTGTCCCAGGCCCCCCAGGGGCTACAGTCCTCCCCAACGGCCTCCCCCCCCCCAGCTGGTCTCCAGCCCCTGCTCATTCCCTTGCTCTGGACACTGGAGATGAGCAGGAGAACAAGCAGGAGGCTGGAGAGAATAGGAGAACAAGTAGGCGGCTCATTCCCCCTACCCGTTGGTTCCCCCTGCCCTCCATTCATTCCCCCCTGTCCCCTGTTCATTCTCCCCCCATCCCCCATTCATTATCATTCCCCTATCACTCTCTGGGTCTGACCACGGAGCCAGTTCCCCAGCCATCAGACCATAAGGTTGTGCAGTTGCTAAATTTTACCATGAGGACATCATGGGAGACCAAATCAAAGGCTTTTTTGAAATCATCAACCTCTTCTCCTTTGTCCAGGTAATATGTCAGCTCGTCATAGAAGGAAATGAGGGTGGTCAGGCAAGAACTACCCACAATGAAGCCGTGTTGGCCCTCTTTCAGAATGTTGCCTTCTGTCAGCCTGTTGTTGATGGGTTTTTTGATGATTTTTTTCCAAGGTCTTTCCAGGGATTGAGGTCAAACTGATTGGCTTGTAGTTCCCTACAAGTGCAGGCTCACTGGAGGACAGACCGAACTGGACAGGCTCATAAGGTGGGAGGATCAAAACCTGATGACATTCAACATGGAGAAATGCAAGGTGCTCCACCTTGGGGAAAAACAACCCACAGAATACTTATACGCTCAACACTGCTAAACTCACTAGCATCATGACCAAAAGAGACTTGGGGGTCATGACTGACCAGAAGATGAACATGAGCCATCAATGCAATCCCGCAGCCATCAAAGCAAATAAAAACTCTGGCTTGCACCTACCAATGCATCTCAAGGAAGACCCAAGAAGTCATCTTCCAGCTTTAATTGGCCTTGGTTATGCCACAGCTGGAGTACTGCATCCAATTCTGGGATCCATACTTTAGAAAGGATGTGCAGAAGCTTGAGAGAGACTAGAGGAGAGCCATCCCCATGATTAGAGGTCAAGAGAACAGGCCTTATGAGGAGAGGTTGAGAGGCACAGGACTCTTCAACCTGGAGAAGCAAAGGCTCAGGGGTGACTTGGTGGCAGCCTGTACGTATATAAAGGGGTGTGCATCAGGAACTGGGAGAACGTTTGTTCTCCAGGGTACCCCAAGGGAAGACAAGGTTTAACGGTAGCAAACTGCTGGAAGACTGTTTTAGACTGGATACAAGGAAAAACTTCTTTACTGTCCGATGCTCCAGAGTCTGGAATAGACTTCCCCAAGAAGTGGTGCAAGCAGCTACTCTGGATACCTTTAAGAAATGCTTGGATACTTATCTTGCTAGGGTGATCTGACCCCAGCTTGTTTCCTATCCCTTGGGCAGGAGGCTGGAACCAATGATCTCACAAGGTCTGTTCCAGCCCTAATGTCTATGAAGTCTATGAAATATCATACCTGGATTTTCCAAAAGCTTTTGTAAAGCCAGTTATGTATGGTAATATCAAAGATCACACTGAATGTTATTGGATAAAAAGTCTCAACTAAAAGGTTAAGAAAACAAAGCGAAAAACGGAAATTTTGAAAGCTGGAAATAAGTCTTCTTCATATGTACATCACAAAATTTGGTATTTTGACTATAGTTTTACTATTGTACATTTAGAACATGTGGGTAAGGATAATGGAAAAAAGAAAGGAAAGAAAATAAATATGTCCATTCTAAAACCAATATTAAATGGGAAGATTATTAAAAAGGTCCAACTGCAGCAGAGATTTCTGTGGTACAAGTAGCATTTTTGGAGAGAGATTAAAGATATAAAACTATATTGTCAATATGGGGAAAGTTTAAATATGTACGAAAACAAATGAAAAATCTAGTAGTATTTGCAAAATAAAGCACAGACCAAGCTGTTTTATGCAAAGCCACTGAATTAAACTTTCTTGATGAACTTACTAGTGCACACTGGAATATAAAGAAAAAGGCAGATGGGCTGCCAAGCCAGTGACAAAATTATATGCTTCTATGACTAGCATGTATTTGTAGTATGAAATGGTTTTCAAGCCAACATTTAAGATGGTCTGTAATTTATTTATACACCAATATAAGCCAGTGAGTAAACTTGTCAAGTTCAGTACAGGTTAGTATTAATGCCAGGTTCAGAAAACATTTAAAAATAATTAATATTATTAAAATATGACATATGCATGTCATAAAAAGCCATGCAATATATACATTAACATTTTGGTTGATGTGTTATTCTATGCACAATGTCAAAAATCAATTAAAAAAACATTAGTTTTCATTCACAATAAGTTTGTCAACTTCATTTTGCATGTGTTGATTGTTTAAAAAAAATGAGTGATATCACTACTATGTAGTTTATCCAGCTACAAAAGCTTGAAGGAAACTTAACCTTCATTTACTTTCAAAGGGCTGAATATAGTGATCTCTTAAGGTTCTGGGAAAAAAAAAACTAAAAAGAAACAAACAAAGAACAAGTCTTAATACCTCTCCTTAAGCTGCCTTTTCCCATTTTTAGTTTTTATAGTATCTAGCACTTTGACACACTGTAGTAATTCACTAATTGCTTGCTTATGTTGCTTGTTTTCTGTTTGTTGTTCTTAAGTAGCTTCTAGAGATTAGGATCAAAGAACAGGTTAGGCTGATACACATTTTGCCATCAAATATCTTTTTACAAGGCCAGAAGACAGTCTTTTTACATTGGTTTGAAACATCATCAGCACATATCTCGACTGCTTCCAGGAAGGGTGAAAGCAGCCAACATTATTCATTCAACCATAGCTGGAAAGCTGTTACCATTAAACATGGTCATAATCTACATGGAAGTCTCAGACATATAAAACTGAATTCCACTGAAAAGAATATATGAAGAAATTTATCTAATCTGGTCAGTGGCAAATCATAAAGGTTTTTTACCCTGCATGTTAAACATTTCCTTTAGTTCCAAACTTTTTATTAAATACGAGTAAACTAAGTTTTCTCTGGCTTCATTTCTAAATATATGTTCAGCTTTCTCATCTCAGCTAGTGCACAATTAGGGTTTAATGTTAAAGCTTTATAACCAATATATTAGTGACAGCCTTAGCTAACCGTGAAACTTAAAAATATTAAGCCAACTGTAGCTATGAGTTTGTTACCACATGACCGGTTGAAAGTTTTCACTGAGTTGCTTCCTTTTAAAACACACAACCCATTAATTCTTAGTGAGGTAAAACAGATCACATGTTGCCATGTGAAAAAAAATTATTAGGAATTGGCAGACATCTGTTATCAGCACTGATATTAAACTCAGGTTTCAGTTATTCTAAGTGCTAACTATCACTATGAAGAGACATGGCTTTATGTATAACAAATATTATAGTTATTAATACAATAATGCCTAATGGATGCAATCAGGATTGGTTTTAAAAAAGCACTCCTCCTCCAAGGCTAGTTTTGTTAAAGGGACAGACAAAAGAACGTAGGACCTTCTGGGCACGTCTATATAAGATATTTACCGTGGAGGTGACTAATTAGCTTCACAGTAAAAGGTCGCTTTCTACACATGTGGAGCTATTAGGATGGAGTAAACTAATGAACTCCATCATAGCATAATATTGCCATCTTACAGCAGAGTAGTACAAGTACCATCTTATAGCAGTTATTTACTCAGCCACAATGCACATGTAGATGCTGACAGGGCTGGCTGGGGCATGAGAGTGCTTCAGTGAAGGGCTGTCTGTTGGCTAGCCCTGCACTGAAGCACCCTTGTGCCCCAGCCAGCCCCTGTGTTGCACACTGAGCTGGGTTGGAGAAGCCCTGGGTTGGCAGGCTGACCCATGGGGCCCCCTGTCAGCTGCAGCTGCTCCACCCCTGCTCAATGTTTTGTGGTACTAGGCACACGTGCAAACACCGTGCCCGGGGCACATACAAACTGCTCTGGAGTGTATTCATCCACATTAATTACATGTATAGACATGCCCTTTGGGTATTCTGTATGAATCACATCCACATGACTTCTACTTAAACTTGCTTCCCAGAAACTTGTGCCAGGTACCCCTGTCAATAGCTTCAGAAAGTTAACTGTTTATCCTGCATACAAATAAAAGGAAGACGAATCAATGGCCAAGAAAGAAACAAAAATGCCTGTGTGAATATTTGTAACTCATTCTTAAACCCAATTTAAATTATGCATGTTTGTATTCTTACTGAGCAAGGGCTACTTTATCATGACACTACAGGACATTTTTATTAATAAAATATTTAAGGCACTATAATTCATAGTAACTTCTACACAATACATTCAAAAGAAGAGCTGTCAGCTGAATCAATATTGTATAATAAGTCATTTGCATTTTACGGACAAATTGGGCATACTTTCTTTTAGTTATTTTCATACAGCAATTACTGAAATATTTACCATGAGATATTGTCTGGCAAGACAGACAGACTCAATAGTGCCCTGGAGGTAGACAGTGGATTTCTTTTGTGGGTTACTGGGGTCAGGGAAGTGGATCTGAGCACCAGTTCTCTGCATGATATGTTTGATGTTACTGCCATTTCTACCCATCATAAAGAGATGATGTTGTGCTGCAATGTCCAGCTGTGTGCTCACTGGGATTGCAGAGGCCAAACTGCCTGCCAGGTGTTCCAGAAGCATTGCTGTTCCTTCCTACAAGAAAGAGAAAATGCACTGCAGATAAACTGTCAAAACAGCACACCCAAATGCAGGTTTCCTCAGGATACATTTGTTTTAGTCACCACACATCTAATTCTGAAAGTAAGTCGCAGAAGAATATAAAGGATTTTCTTGCATAAAAGAAAAATTAAAAGATGCATATTGCTTAAAATTAAGTTGAGTCATAATTCAGAAACAACTTTACCTCCAAGTCTCCATCTTATGAAGAGTTGTACAATATACAATTGGTTTCACAGGGGACAGTTACGATGATCTTAATGTCCTGGCCCCAATCCTGCACTCCAATCCAGTACTCCTGTGCAGCTACAGTGAAATCCATATGAACTACCCAAACAGAACTAATTTCAGGACTTGGACTATGAAATACTAATTGACTAGAGACCACCTTATTGCTGTAGTAGTCATCTGCACAAGAGCTCAAGACAGCTCCTTTGGCTTTATGAGAGAAGGTAGTGTTGGCAGGATGTAGTCAATGAAAGGCCCTTTCTTTCTCTGTCAAAATTTGCTCTCTCTCTCCCTTTGTCCAAAAGAGATCTAATTTGTTGACTCTCAGCCCATGTTTGGAGTCCACATATTGGACTTGATATATGGAAAGGGCTGAGGTTTGTATGACTTGGTGTTGTTTTTGCTACATTGTTTGCTTACTAGATGTTTTACAATAGGTGGAAGAGGATCCAGTATTGTTTTTCTGTTTTGGATTGTGGTATTAACCATTTGCCAGCATGTTGAGAATTTGAGTCACCTAATTAGGTTAAACTGAAATGAAGGCATACTAGGGTGAAAGCCAAAAAAAAAAAAAAAATCCATCTTTAAACACACAGATGTTATTTTATCAAAAATATTAGCCTTTAAGATCAATATATTCAAATCACCATGTGGTAACAGGCAGCCTTACTAATCAGTGACAGCATTGCAACTATACACTGTTTAACACAGTGGTGCTTACCTTTTTGGCCCTGCATGCCAGATGGGTATGGCAGGACCGGTCTTCAGTCCAGATTGAGCTCCCATGCCAGTATTGGGCTCTGGGGCCTAGCATTACCCCCTCCCTGCCCCAAAGCACCAGGAGCAGGCCCTGGGGTCAAGCACCACCCTCTTCCTGTCCCAAGTGCCAGGCTGAGGTCCTGGGGTGCTGGGATTGGGTCCTGAGGGCCCAATACCACCCCTCCCCTGTGATTTGGCCCCAAAGGCCTGGCACTGACTGTTTTGCCCTAACATGCTGGGGCTGGGTCCCAGTTGACCGGCACCATCCCCTCCCACCCCTGTGTCCCAGGATTAGTCCACAGGGGCCTGGCACCACCACCTTTCACCCCAGTGTACTAGGATTTTGTTCTGTGGGCCTGATGTCGCCCCCTACTGCTCTCCACACCAGGATTGGGCCCTGGGGCCCAGTGCCACCACCACCCAGCCCTGCACATTGGGACTGGAGGCCTGATCCAGCTCACAGGAACCCAGTATCTCCCTGGCTCTGTAAATTTGATGGTGGGGGATCAGTGCCACCGCTCTCTCACTGCCAAATTTCCAGACCCATGGGGAGCACCATGCGCTGGATGACACAGGGTCACAGGCCGGATCTGGCTTGTAAGCCAGTGGTTGAGCACCCCTACTTTAAAAAAACTGTTTAAGCTATTTACACATTTGAGACATTGAGAATAATACTTAATAAGTGTATTACCTTTACAGCACTAGTATTATTCTGTGACCCCCTGACAATGACAGTAGTACCATACATTCGAGAACGTTGTTTAAAAGAAACTGAAATGTTGTAAGTCTGTGATATATGCTGAATTGTGGGAAA